CACTATCACTGGTGAAGTCTATACTGGAAGTAGAACACTTCTAGAAGATGAGAATATGGAAGAGGAAGTTCCTGAAGAAGATCCTGCAGTTGAACCTGGAAAGGAAGAAGAAATATTTGATGAAGATGCAGGTGTTTTTCCTTCAGAGGAACCAAAGATGGAAGTTGACCAGGAGGAAGCCAAGGAAGAGTCAACACCACACTTTCTGTCAAGAGAGATAGGTGAGGACTCGACTGCATCGCACTTACCATCAGGTGAGATGGATGCTAACCTTGATGATACTTCAGGTCAGCGGAAATCTGAGAAAAGCCGCCTGAATAAGATTCCTGATCCTCATTTTCATGAAGAAGTTCAGGATGATGCAACCATGGAAGAGAAGAAAGAGGCGGTGGAGAAAATAAAAGAGGTCAGAGAGGATGATGGAGAGAAGAAATTGGAGGCTGAAATCCAAGAATCTTTTCCATCTGAAGTAGTTGTTGAAAAGGATACAACAAAAGCTGACGATACCTATGAATTGCATACTTCACCTTTGAAGTTGCTTGGAGAGCTTACAGGAGATCCAGGTATTGGCTTTTATCAACTACGCTTCAGGGAAACTCATGCAAGATTGCTGAATCATGTTTGTTTCAGAAAAGGTGAGATTTCCCATCCTCATTATCAGTCAAGGATCAACGAGAATGATTTTGTTCGATCCATTCGCAATATCTGTCCAGTACCTCCACCTGATTGTTATGAACATGAACCAGAGCATGACTTGAAGAGATTTTTCATCAATGATGACCGCATCATTTATTTGGATGGCAGGTATCAGGTCGATCCAAAGGCCCTTGGAAGGGCAGGTCATGCTCGAGAAGAATTGGAGGATACGAAGAAGGAACTCAAGAAGGAACTGGAATCATATGGTCCCAAGGGACCCAGTTGGGACTTTGTCACCTTCTATGAAGAGCTGTGCAGAAGGTTCCTCAAGGGAAGAATAGAAGAACCATATGGAACTAATTTATTGGCCAGCTCAGAGTCCTTGACATTTTTATCCTGGAACTATGGCAACATGGTTCGTGGTCAGAAGTACACCACACCAAGGTTTCTCCAAGGACTTGATAGTGCAATGAGGCCACGCAAACAGAGCGCCATGTCACTTCAGAATGAGCAATTTGAGAACAACCTTTTCTTCAACATGCTCTTCTTTTTACGTGCACATGTCGTGATTCTCCAGGAAGCTCATCTTCTTGTTCCTGCCAAGGAATTTATTGAGCAAAAGAATTGGACAGTTTGTTTCAATGATTGGGAGAATCTTGCAGTGATGGCTAGATTGGCACCAGGTGGATATGTCAAGATCATTGCTGGACATGACCAAGATCTTGGTCATTGTGAACAGCGTGATGTAACTTGGGCTATCTACGAGATTTGTTTTGGAGAAACAAGGCCTCGTCAAGATTTCAAGGATGCAGACTTTGAATTTGATGACTATGGTCCTGAGGACAAGCGTGTTCCACTTACTCGAGCGAACATGCATACCATCAGAGTCTGTAATTATCATGTTGATACACACCGTGCTGTGGATGCCCACCTACTGACAGGAGAACAGACAGCATTGATGCTTTACGAGTGTTTTGTTTATGAGGTGGACATCATTTCTGGTGATGCAAATAGTTTGGCCTACAGAATGTCTGGGTACAAAAGGCAGCCAATGGCTAACTACTATTACAGCACCATGCAGCATTGGATCCGCAGGTTTTCAGAAGCCCGTGTAAAAGCAGATCCTGGTATCAAAGCACCTATTCCCAGAACTTTTTACAGTTCAACTTCACAGGTCCTCAAGAAGTGTGAAGATTACTTTGACAAACTCTGGGAAGAATATTCTACTGTTGAAAAAGAAGAATACCAAGGATCACAGCTTGGCGATACATGTTTGTCTACCATTGTTGAATGGGGTCATTCAATGAGTGAAGAGGAATATGAAAATTCCACAGTGAGCACGAAGGAGTTCATCTGTAATTTTTCAGAGAACTTTGCTATGATTGACACAGAGGTTATGTGCTCAAGGCCCACTGACGAGGACAGTCATGGTCCAATGTTTATTTCACTCAGACCAGCTTCCTTTTCATCTGGAGACAGAAGACAGTACCGCATGGGACCAACTCTTCATGAGGCTAACTTGCGGAGGAAGGAGAGACAGAAGCAGAATAAAAGGAAAGGAAGGCCGCCAACTTCTGATCAAGCAGCTTCATCGTCTGCAGCGGCATAATTCCTGAGCGAAGGCTGAAATTTAAATGATGGCTAGGAAGTGAAGATACTTCTGGTTACAGTTGATACTTTGCTTCCAGGCTTGACTTTAAGTTGCCAGGCTGAAGTTTTAATAATTTCTGGTTTGCAATGAGGAGAAACTTTTTATCAAAGAAGATACTCCTGCATTCCAGGTTTATACGCTTTAGCATGTAGATAGGTATGGACAGTTTTGCGTAACTGATGATATCTATCACAGCCGCTTTTTCTGAGATGACCTCTAATGGACAACCATTCATGGTTGATGATTAAGTCATTTCATAAGTCTGCATTTGTAGTGCAAGTTTTGTACATACATTTGCCGGTATCTCCTTCTTGTGTTTTTGATGTGAATGTGAAAGAGAGTCCTTTTGATGCAGTTTATTTTGTCTGTGAATGAAAGCGGTCGAGACCACGTCACGAGAAGATTATTCCTCGGACCGTACGCTCCTTGCATTTTGCAAGGCATCTTAATTCATTGCATTGTGCGGTCTTGAATTTTTAGTTCTTTGTTACGCGAGTGTCGTTTGATTCTTTTATAGGTCTCTGTAGAGAAAAAGCCGCTTTCCCTTTTAGTTTGATTTAGCTCAGGCCATAAAGAGCTAGTGAGCGCCGGTACATGGTATCTTCGCCTGCGAAAAGTACAGTCTCCAGCCGAGGTACATTATCGATTTGATTTTGTACTTGAGGTGAGTCAGCTATTGCTCCCTCACTGTATTTAGTAGCTATGAGATTACCTTCTCTGAAGTGTGAAACACACTGGATTAGGTAAGTACATGGCACCGTAGTTTTCTTTTAAGTTGTCAGAGCTAGCTGGACTGATTTAGCCTTGCAGTAGAAAAAGAGTATGCGACATACGCAATCAGCTAGAAGTGGACATGAATCTTGTGCCTGCTGAAAAGTAGAGCCTACCTGTACAGGGTTCCACTCCAACAGCTGATATAGTGTGTCCATGCTTGACTGCTTCAAGGCTCAAAGAGATATAGGATAAGACTCTGCGTGAGTAAAAGACACTAGCGGTCTGCACCTCTACCGTGTACGCCCTAGTCACTCTTTCACCCCCCTCCCCCCCTCTAAAATCAATTCTCTCCTGGAGAACGTCTTCGTGAGCCTCTCATGATTTCAGGATAGTTGAAACCCTCTTGAACATTCAGAAAGAGTGAATATGAAATTCAAATCACGAAAGGTGTTCCCCGAGGGGATACATACCTAGAGTTTGTTTTGTGAAGCACGTCAATTCTGAGCCTTTTATGGTTTCAGGATAGTTCAAATCCTATGATGTTCCGATTCAATGCTCACCGATGATCTGAGCCATGGGGCAAGTTTGTTTCCTAAGAATCTTTTTGAACATTTCGAGAGCATATGTTTGAACATTTAGAGTGCATATGAACATATATTTACGAAAAGGTCGCCTCCGAGGGGATAAATCACCATGTCGAACATTGCATTTTTGTTCCTGCCTCTCGCGTTCTCTTCTCTTCCCGCTGTCCTACCTTTCGTGTCTCCCTCCTCTCAAGTAAGCATGATTTAAACCCGAAGCAATACAAGGGTACCTCGTTGAGGCAGCAAGAGAGCTAAGCCTGCACAGAGATAGAGGGAGAGAGAGAGAGAGAACAAACAACAACAACAACAACAACAACAACACCAACAGCAACAGCAACAGCACCAGCAGCAGCAGCAACAACAGCAACAACAGCAACAACAACAGCAGCAGCAACAGCAGCAACAGCAGCAGCAGCAACAACAGCAACAACAGCAACAAGAGCAACAAGAGCAAAACAACAACACCAACAGCAGCAACAGCAACAGCAGCAACAACAGCAAGAACAGCAACAATAGCAACAACAGCAAGAGCAGGAAGAACAACAACAACAAGATTAATAATAGCAACAACAACAACAACAAGAATAAGAATAACAACAAAAAACAAAAACAACAACAATAGCAACAACAACAACAACCACAACCACAACGACGACAAAAACAACAACAACAACAACAACAACAACAACAACAACAACAACAACAACAACACAAGTACTTGCAGAAAAAAAACATGTTTTCAACAATAGATGGTTCCCACAGTTGGTTTGCACAAGTGCAATTGCCCTCGACGATCGAAGGCACCGGAAAGAACTGGGTCATTGGCTTTTCGTTTGTGTAAATCATGTAAAGAATGTGATATGTTCATCTGGCCAATGCGACACCATCACCATCATCACCATCAACTATGGCCCATCAACTGGTGCAACCAGCTTTTTCAGGGCGTTCTGAACCTGCGCGACGAATTACACAAACAAGCCGAGGCCATGGCAGAAGGTGATTTGCCTCAAAGAGTTCAGCCTTCGTGAGCGAAGCTTGGCGCTGGCCCTGTGTTGCACAGGGCGAAGCTTGGCGGTGTTTTCTTTTCGGCGACTTTTGGATGCTGCTTTTCTTTGCTGTGCAAAAAGAGATGGGCTCGTTTAATACCTCGGACACCTTGTTCACAGGGGCTCTTGCACCAGGATGGTTCTACATCTACTAATCCACAGTCAACATGAATTACTGTGAGCTTTGGAAGCGCCAGGGCCGGAGCTGAGTTGTTTTGTTATTTACCGGGATGCCCGGTCCAGTCGGGTGCATACTGCTTGTCCGATCCGTGTATCCCCAACGACTGTCCGAAACCCAGTCAGGCACAGCAAAAGCATTCAATCTTTGTGGACCTGAAAACAGGGAGGCTTAGGTCCCAGGAGCACCGCATGGTGGGGGAACAAACTGGAGGAGGCCACTGGAGGCCACGGACCCGGCTGCTGCTGCTGCTTTGGTGTGACTGGATTCGTATCGAGCTTCGCATCTTTCCTCTTTTTTTGCTTCTTGGCTTACTGGTGCTGCAGCTTTGGTGTTGGATTTGCTTGCCCCCCCTTTTCTAAAGTCAATCTTCTTGTTGGTCTCGGCCGATCCCTTTCCTCAACGCGTTCCGTGCTGAACGCTTCCGGCACGGCGGCGCCGTTTTCAGCTCGAACAGCAGCTATTGATCGCCGGAACAGCGAATTGGCCAATAGAAGCAGATAAACTGGCGGGACACCCACAATAAGTACAGGAACATCATCCAGTTTGTTTGACGGCTTCCATGCTTAGCTCAACAATCACAGGCAGTGGCGATGTGGGACATGTGTGAACCACATTGTTACTTCTGAAACTCGAACAGCAAGAATTCACGGGTGGTGGCTGACATGACCATGTGGCACCTGCCTTTGGTGGCTGCACACATATGTCGGCGTATCCTTGCTGCACTTATTTTACCCCGTTCTTGAGCATGAGTTCTTTAACGTAGATTTTGGTGGACATTGAGACTAGTTATACTGACTCCAAGAGAGATGGGAGTAGTCGGACGATCTTGATATTTTATTCTCCTATCTCATGTGCTCTGTGCATATTTGGGCAATGTGATTTTTGTTTTCCTATCTCATGTGTGCAATCTGAATTGGTGGACCATATAGTCCTATCTCAGCAGCAAAGCCAAAGCAAACAGACCTGATTTTATATTTGTTGTTGCAGCGAGTTTGCCCATGCCCACAAGCTCCCGACTCATGTGCTTTTTGGACTATTGTTTAGGCCTGGACATGCCTGGACACACCGTCGCGTGAAGGGCCGTAACATCCTGTCTCATTTGCTAAAGCTGATGTGCATGAATTTATTTGTCCATAAGGTCCTGTCTCATCTGCATGTCCCTTTTCTAAAAAACGACCATAGGGTCCCGTCTCACCTGAGGGTAGTATAAATTGGGTGTGCAGATGCTGTTCCTGGACAGATGCATGTCCTCACCGCATGCTAGCCGAGGCAAACTCCGGTTTGTTGCAGGCCGCCCCTCGTTGGCAACTGAAGTGCACGCAGCGCCCTGGATTGTAAACATGTTTCCTTTGCAAAACCGTTCATGCACTTTTGCCAATTCCCTTTTTCGTGGGTTGACATGATCGAAGCGTCGGTTGTTACTGGGAGTCCAACACTGATAATTCTACCATTCATCAACGGATTGAAGCTTCTTGGATTCGTTCATGGCATTTGATGGTGACATGCTTCATCACACCGCACCATTCATTCTCACACTTTCTTTCGGAGCATTGCTAAGGACATTCCTTGACACCGCAGAGTGCGACATTGATGGAATTTTGGAATTGACGAGTCTGAGCTCACTTCGGATGTGCCCGGATCAGAACTTTTGCAACTTTTGAGCAAATTGTGTGAAACTACTGCGGATTTTCCTATTGAGAAATCTTATTGGCATTTCCCGGTGGCTACACCTTTATGGCATTTGATGGTGACATGCTTCATCACACCGCACCATTCATTCTCACACTTTTCTTTCGGAGCATTGCTAAGGACATTCCTTGACACCGCAGAGTGCGACATTGATGGATTTTGGAATTGACCAGTCTGAGCTCACTTCGGATGTGCCCGGATCAGAACTTTTGTAACTTTTGAACAAATTGTGTGAAACTACTGCGGATTTTCCTATTGAGAAATCTTATTGGCATTTCCCGGTGGCTACACCTTTCTGGTCGAATTATAGCGACCTCACCCGACGTCACCCCGAAATTACGACCTAACATTTGGAAATAAGGGACTATACTGGGTGAGGTTGCTAAATGGTCCCTTCAGGCACCATCTCTCTCTCTCTCCCCCCTCCCGCACACCAAACACCTCTGCGGCTTGCTGGCGCCACCTTTGCTGGAAGGCGCGGTGGGACCTGGGCTCGGCTGCCTAGTGTCTAACTGGGTCCAGCCAGGGAGTTGGCTCCCATCTGTTTTTTTTTGCGGGGAAGTGTCTTCCTGACCTTCCTGCTTTGGGAGTCTTCGCGTGTTGCACTGACATGGCGCTGGGCGAGTGCATTGCCGAAGAAAAACTTTCTAGGCCACGAAAAGTTGGTTTTGACTTCTGGGCAACGACTGCAAAGAAACACAGCCTAGAATAAGACAGCGCCAGGGAGGATTTGTGCCTAGGACACTGAACAGTTTGTTTCCGTTTAGGTCCACTTGGTCCGAGGTTTCGGGCTACCGAACGCGCTCTGTTTTTGTGTTGGGTCACTGGAATGTTCTGAAAGTGGCCCTCCCCCCCCCAAAAAAAAAACAACTTTTTGGACCCTGAAAAGTTTTATTCCGCTTTGGCCAGGTTGGGGCCACAGGTTTCGACACAGTGGCAGCAACCAGACACCAAACACTGAGTGATCTCTGTGTATTGGATCTCACTCTCTCTCTCTTTCTATTGTTAATGGTTTGGCACTAGTGGAACACCTGGAGAACCAAGGGTGGACATCCTGAGTTCCAACTGATGGTTTTGCTTTCGGCAGGCCTTCATCTCCGCCGCTGCGCTCCAGCCACGCCGTGGGCCGCGGCGAACCCCACGACCTCACATAATATGTTTTATTTCAACGACCTAACCCTTAATTCAATTTGGAAATACTAAATTACGACCCAACGACCTACGAAATATTGTAATTCAACCAGACCTTTCGCTTACAAGAAGGAACTAAGTCCCAAGACCACATGCATCGAACTGTTAAGAAGGCTCAGCTTGGTTCCTTCCAGACTCCAAGAAAGCATGATTCAAAGGCCAATGGAAGGGTCGTGCACAGAAAGGGTTTTGCAAAAACCTATTCTACTAACTTCGTGGAAGGCGCGTGACCTTCGTAGAACCCAAGGCTGTTCGTGGACAGTTCGTGGAATGGTGGGCCAGTAGGAGAACTGACTGCAACGAAAGTCTTGCAAAAGGAACTTGCAAAAGAAGAGCCCGTTATATAGAACGATAGGTATTGAACAAGGTTCACTTTGGTTTTTCCAAAACTTTGGAGGCCAGGGTAGTTGGATGCTAATTCTGCCACATGCTACTCTCCATTCGCCACTCCACAGTATTTTTCCGCGATGGGTTAGCCAAAGGCGGTAGCAACAGCCTTTGGGGTAGCCGACAGGGGTTAGCCAAATCTTGTGGTTCCAGCCGACCAAGCTCCTGCATCATTCTCAAGTAAGTTTTAGTTTAAGTGAGAGACTGTTTGCCAATACGGATGCGTTCGACTGCAGATCAACTTTGGCTCGCCAAAAGCTTTTCTCCCTGCAAAAGACTAAGTGACTAAGTCGCGCCAACTGGTTTGGATGGCCGGGCTTGTTCTTGTGAACCTTAATCG